GTCAATAAGCATCCCAGGAATTATCTCATGATGTATTACACTTCTGAAACAACAGAGGAAACCAAGCAGCGACCAGACGATGTAAAGTTTTGTAAATGAGAAGACAATGAGAAGGCGAAATAAGGAGTGACAAGAAAAGAGCGAGATCTTGATTGCCAATTAGTGGCATTTAAGCAGTCTCTCCTTTTACCACTTAGCTTGATAATGTGCATTAAGGCGCTGGCTTTAAATTATAAAGTTAATAAATAAGTTCACAAAAGTGGAAAAAAACCGCTTCGCCATATAGGCGAAATAAACACAAGTACTAAAAGTGCGTAACATGGGAAAACGATAAAAAAAAAAAAGATCCGTTTAGCTCGTGGGAAATCATGAGAAGTCGGTTCGTCATAGCCAGTGACGTGGCAATACCTTTTATTCTGAGACATGATTACGTTAAATAGACGACATTTCGAATCACATTACAAAATATTTAATATAAGTAAATTAATATAAGTAAATTTCCATGGATTAACGGATTAATATTCGGATGCATGGTTAAGATTTCATCGCAGATTTATATATAGGTAAAGATTATATTAACTAATTGCTTTGCTATTTTTAGAATGAAGAGGGGTGAAAGGGCTATCGTTACTTTATTATCTGACGTATATATCCGGGAATCCGCGTTCAATATGTACTTCCTTTTATCCATAAAATTCAGGTAATATAAATGGATAAAATTCTTTCCACCAATATCCCCTCATTTTTTAGAGGCTTTATTTGGAAGATACTATAGAGGAAAACCTTCTGTTTGTAATACAAAAATAGTACTAAATATTCGATAGCTACGACCTGCGTATCTACCTAAAACCTACGCAGTTCATAGCTATTGAATATTTAATAGGTCTAAAGCCAATATCACAAATTCGTCATCTTTAAAAATTAAAAATGCATTTCATCACCTACTACCATCGGTGGTTTCTGATGATTCTCGTTTTCTGCAGACTCTGCCATCTTAAGGAGGTGATGATGTTCGGTACATCATTTGTGATCATCATGATCATCATTTCTGTTCTACGGGTTCTACCAGAAATACTGGTCACTTTCAGAAAGGGTAATGTTTGGGAGGTGGTTGCCACAAGAACGATCACATTGAAATAAAAAAAAAGATTATAAATATGTATTAAAAATGCACTGTTATACTCTAAATGGAAAAAAATTACATAAAATTTTATCTTTGAAGACTTTCCAAATGAGAGAAGTTTCTGTAATGGAACATCTATTATTACGAATCCAAGTTTTGGTGTAATGTTATGAAATCCTTGTAAGATAGATAATCCAGATAATTTTCGTTTTATGTGAACGTGATCGTTGCAGAATTTACGAATATCAATGATGTTCTCTACCCTGATTTAATAATATTCTTAAAAATACTGATGACTCTCAGAGATGGTCGTCGTAAAGAGGTCGCTTGCGATCCAAGGCTGTTTTAGTCTTCTCTGGAAGACATCATCGTAATGTAAACATGTTCAGTACCGATATTTATGTCTTCTGAAATGCGAGTTCGGAAGAAATGAAACAATAGCTTTGAAATCTCTTTTATAGCTATTGAAACTAGAATCTCCAGAAATGCGCCAAATATCAGCGAAAAATACCTTGAATATTTCGAAAAAGGGAAATAAGTTCCTTTGAGATATCGCCAGGAAATAATGCCAAAATATGAGAAAAAGAGGCGAATTGCCTGGTAATCCTATGCCGCAAAAATTTGGAACGGGCAGTAAAGTAATACTATGGCACTTAGCCAGCTAAAGTAGGTAAGTGATGCTTTTACTTGAATTTGAAACTTTTCTGTTTTTTGTAATTAAATTTCTTAATTGTTAGCACACCATGTACACTGCGGAAGAAAAAGGGGAGCAATTCTATAACTCCCGTTATACTGAGAAAACTTAATCTTTAAAAAGCTGAAACGTTTGGTCCCCAAAACTGAATCTTTGAAGTCTTAATCAACTTGTGTATCTAGTTTTTCAATTTTATTGTCATCTTCATCATAAGCACAGTTGTTCAGTGTAATTTGTGCACTTACCATTCCGTTAGTCAGCTACAGCAGTGTTTTCCAAACTTGTTAGCCTCATGATCCGCATGTCTTTGAAGAAGGGAGGACCCCCTCCCCCTCCACCCCCCAAAAAATCACAGAAGAAAATAATGCAGCAATGAAGTAATAAAAAATAAGTATATATAATTATTAGCAGTTAATTGATAATTCTAAATTACCATATTTGCCGGCTTAGAAGACGCACCCTTCTTTTTATACACATTTTTGGAGGATAAAACTTTGTTACTGACCATTATAATGAATTTACAGTATTTTGAATATAAAGTAATACAGAGTAATACTTTCTGCAAACCTCTTCTAAATCAACACCCGAGTCCTCATACAACAAATTGTCCTCTGTACCATCCAGTGTTTCCATGTTCTTTAGCATACGCTATCACACATAGCTTGTATGGTATGTTATAACAATGCCGACGTTGTTTTTGAACCATAACTAGCCAAGAAATTTAAGAAAATTGAACAGTAGGAATTTCACATACTCAAAACTCGTTCACAAAAATTGGAAAGTTTAAACGAACCCAGCTGTGATTGTCGATGACAGCGCATGCTCATTCTCTGAACGCTACGTAACTGTAATATTCCTAACAAGAAAAAAATCGCATGATTCCGAATAGAGGAAATTTCCAGGAATGAAATATCGACGCATAAGACGCATCCTGTTTATCAGACCTGTTTTCAAAGAAAATTCCCAGTTAGAGTTAAATATGTATAATTATAGAATAAGGAAAAGATTACTTCGACACACTTTGCGAACTCCCCAACAGCTGTTTCTCTACTTGCAGTTGGAAACCTTTGATCCGCAGTTTCTGAGTGGTAAACAACCTGTATCACAACTTTTCTCTGTTCAGATTTTCAAAAAGGCCAACTAGTGGCCGAGTGGTAAAAACGTTGATCACTGGTAAATCGACCCGGGTTCATATGAAGACGAACGGGCTGGCTGCACACATATTTCACGATTTTCCCCATTACGAGACATTCCCTTACAAAATCCTCCACGAAGACATCCTTCCAGTTAGGCAGATATAGCCCTCGCGTTCTCTGCTACAATTTAAATAAGGACAATAAAATTAGTTTTTGAAGTCTTCATAGCAGTTTACCTTTTACGTTGAGAGAATACATTTTCCAATACTTGCATTAAAATGTGTTCTTCTATATAGGAAATATTATTATATATAGACTTAAACTATGTTTCACATTTTAATTTAAAATATGCTCATTTTCATCAAACCTGTTTGCGCTTATGAGCAGTATGATAGGGGAGCTAGTTAAATAGCCGCGTGACTGGATTCGAATCCCAGGATGATTGTTACTTATGTCTTTGCAGCATGGAGGCACTGACAGTATTCCGTAGCTAAAATGTGAGAGGTTGATGGTTGGGTAAGGAAGGGGGTATAGAAAACCGTCGGATTGTTAGATTTGTCAGAATTAGATTCTTTGAAAAAAATCTCAATCAGAATTGGGTGTAAGTTCTATGAACCCCTGAAAAGCAGACGTATGAAAACATTTCAATATGAAAGAAATTAGCTCATTACCAGGAAACAAAAACTTTTGCCACTTCAAGTTAATACGTATGACGTCATAATTTAAATTTAATGCAATATAATATTTTCTCAATATTAATAAAAAATTAACGTGGCAATAATATGTCGTGTCAATTATACTATCCTGAAACAAAAACGTTGCCAACAGCAGTTGTTTATTTAAAATGCTGGCATTGACGAACAATTTTTGACATACGGTTGACGTTACATGTAATCGCGTGCTCTCTTCAACGTCAGAATATGACCTTGCATATAATAATAATAATATGTTTAATGTTTGGCAATACTATTTTTAGTTCATGTTTTGTAAAACTTCGAAATTTTTTATTAAAATCCTCTACGATTTAAAAGCGAGCAGTGGCAACACTTTACTTGGCTGATTAAAGCCGTACGAAGATGAGAATGGTCTAAATGGATTTCCATTAATTTTTGGAATCCGGGGGTACCTCTCTCGAAATTCAACTCCCCGCCGTTCAGGAGGAGATGATGCCATAAACGAATAAACAGACAGATGAGAACATATTTTAATGGTATTATAAAATGCTAAAAAAAAAAAAAAAAAAAAAAAAAAAAAAAAAAAAAAAAAACTGACAAGAACTGGCGTAGAAGTTTTTATAACTTTTACATCGATTTTCTTTCGTCCATGATACGCTATTTTATCGGAAGCTAAGACTACTCATTTTTCTAACCCCCCTAAAAATCTCAATAACTTCCTGCTGTTTTATGTTGGAAAGAACAGGTGGTCCGGCATATCTCTGTTCCGGCCCCCCCCCCCTTTTTTTTTTTTTTTTTTTTTTTTTTGTATTTTCATTTAAGCCTGACTAGTTCTTTCACCTGGTGTTGTTTAATTGCTTTTTCTGGTTCCAGTACAGCTGAGCTTTTGTTAAAGGGAGATGAATTAGATACGTGTGTAATTTCTAAGATAACTTTTTTTTCGTGAATGAGAGCGTGTGCTAGGAATGTTATCACTTATTTACAACTTACGGTTCATGGAAAGTAAACTAGGGAGATATTTTGTGTTTGTTTGGTTAGATGTTTATTTGAATACGCCAAAGCAAATGAGGGCCAGCTGCATTATCGGCGGGATACCTTCATTGGCCACTCTGTTGGCATGTGGTAAAGAAGCCAATTGCCATAACCTTGAGCCCAAGTTCTAATTACGGAGACAGCCTGGATGTTTATAAATACTAGGTATCCAAGAAAGTTCTTGCGGTTTTTTAGAACAGTTACTTTTGGCGTGTTACTTCGGTCAATTTGATTCTGATGACATGATATATTTACACGCCTTTCAAACCTTATTCATTAGAGTTGTTCAAGCATCGCACGTTTCGCTATTGATTTTGTAGGAAGCGCAATCTTCAAAGAACATGTCGTTAGAAAAGGAGATTTTGAGGTCTGTTTTGCTTTACGAGTACAAATTAGGCAACAAAGCTACAGAGGCCGTTAAAAGAATATGTTCGGTGTGTGAAGAGACATCAATGAGTGAACGGACTGCTCAAAAGTGGTTCAGCCGATTTGTTTTTCCTCCTGGAGACGAGAGCCTGGAAGACAAGCCTCATGTTGGTTGTCCATTCTCCCTCGACAAAGTCGAGGTGAAGGAGGAAATCAAGCAGAATCCTCATCAAATCTGCCAGGAGCTTGCACATAGATGTGAAGTGTCTGATGAAACTATTCGATCACAACTTCATAGCCTTGGGATGGCCTGGAAGCAAGTGCGTTGTTCATGTCCTGCCCGAGAGGAATAAGCTCCAACGGTTGAACATCTGCTTGATTTTGCTATCGCGCAGTAATAAAGCCTCGCTCCTGAACCAAATCTTGACATGTGACGAAAAGTGGATCATGTATGATAACCGGGTAGAGGAAACATCACTGGTCGACTTCTGATTTGGTCTCACTGGCCGTTAAACCGGACATTCATTAAAAGAAGGTAATGTTGTGTGTTTGGTAGACCAGCGTTAGTGTGTTCCACTATGAATATTTAGAAAGCGGAAAAACCATAACAAGCGAGGTCTATTCGTCACAAATGCAAAGAGTTTCAGCTGCCAAAAGCAGCCAGCTTTATGGAACAGAAGAGGAATTCTCCTCCTCCACGGTAATGCCAGACTTCATATAGCAAAAACTACCCAAGAGGCGATCAAAAAATTGGGCTGCAAAGTTCTGCCTCAGCCAGCCTATTTCCCGGACATCCCCCGTTGGACTATTACCTGGGTGGCCATGGATAACTATTTCCGTGAACAGCAGTTCCGATAACGCGATGATGTCATAAAGTCTGTATCACAAGTCTTCACTTGAGATACAGACTTGAAAAAAGCATTTTTTCGAAAAGGGCGTTTATAAGGTAGTGTCTCGTTGGGAACGCTATGAAGATTGATAGATGAAGCCAGTGGTCATTATTTCGTAGAATAAAATGGGTGTTTAAGATTTTGTGGACCTTTCTGATGAATGACGTAAACCGCACGAACTTTCTTGATTACCTGATGTATAACAGAGGTGGTCAAACTTCATGTCAGTAAGAGCCGTATGCTGGAACTCAGGAAAGTTCGAAAGCCGCAACTAGATTTTGAAAGCCACAGGTCCATATTTATATTATTTTAAAAGTAGTCAAAACAGGTTTCAAATAGAAAGAACCGTCTGATTCAAAACAATCATTCAGTGATAGTTTGTCTTCAGCATGTGATGATGCGAAGACAACGCGAAGTTTTGTGGTGTCTTTGTTTTCCCTAATTATAGTTTTGATATGGCAAAAAGGGCTCTTTTTAAGTTTTTGAAATACTCCAATTCTTTTGCCATACTTTCTTGTAAATGTTGATCTATTACATCATTGTAATGCTCGTGAAACTTCGAATTCTTCTTAAATTTGGGCGACTTCGGTTTTTCTTAAAATGACTCGAATCGTTTCATTGCTAACTGAAAATTATCCCGGAATTCCTCTGCATACTCTTGTAAACTAAACTGTCCTTAGATTTTTCAGATCTTCTCAAAGCTTCCAGTTGCCATTAATTTCTCATCAATTCGGCCGTTGAATCAACTTCTAAATTATTTTTAAATTGTATCGAATTCTGTATGGTTAAATGATTCTGATGCATTACATGCGTTTCACTCACAGACCCCCCCCCCCAATTTATTTTTTACCTCTACTAATGATTCTAAAATTCGGCAGACACTTCCAGGAAAGCATCCACAAGTATCCATCCGTCCATTCATAGAGCATCTCAAAACAAATCTAACTTTTAAATATTTTCTTTACAAAATTGTTTGATAGAATCAGTACAATATTTTTATTATATTTTATTTGTTTTAATAACGTTATTAAGTTTCTTAATTAACAAGAAATTAAGTAAAATAAGTACGTGTGGGTATTGATCGATTTAAGTTTATTAATACTTAGTGAAAAAAGTAAATAAATTCATTACTTTCTTTTGAACATCCAGTAGTTTTAGTTTATTTTATTTCATACATACAACTTAAACTCATTCTGTAGAGTTTAGCACTTAAAAGATGTCGAAAGCTGCAACGCTTTTAAATGGAAACTGGATTTATTTTGAAGTGCTTCCGAATGGGAACTGGTGAATCGCTTCTTATTATCCAAAATAACAAAAAGTTAAATAAATCATAATTTTTCAAAAGAAATTAAATTTGGAATACAGCATAAATAAAATGGAATAAATATTACCGCAATGTAATGTATAATGCGATAGTAATAATTCTTTGCTAATTTGTTGTGTTAGGTCAGAGAAAGCAGAAGGTGTTTCAGTTACCTCGTAGCTGGTGGCATTTAATACTGACATACAGGGGTTGGACAAAAATATGGAAACACCTTTAAAAAACATGTTTCTTTGCTTAATATGGTGTAGGAAACCCGTTGGCATCCAAAACAGCTTGCAGTCTTCTCGGAATGGATAAATACAGTTCCTGTATGTTTGCCAAGGGAATATTATACCATTCTTCATGCAAACGGTGGCAAGTTCAGATAACGATGTTGGCGGTGGATACGAAAACGCACTTTCTGTTCCAATGTAGACCACAAAGGTTTCGATAATATTCAGGTCTGGTGACTGGTGGTGGCCAGGGGAGATGGGACAACTCATCCTCGTGCTCAGAAAACCAATCCTGGACCAATGTTGAGCTGTGTGAACAGGGGCTTTGTCGTCTTGGAAACACCATCACCATCGGGGAACAAAGTTTGTACCATGGGATGAACTTGATCGGCCAAAGTCTTGGCAGTGATGTGCCCTGACACAGTTATCATGGGGCTAGCAGAGAACCACGATATGGCTGCCCAAACCATAACAGAACCCCCGCCATGTTTTCACTCTTGGCAACAACAGTCTGTATTATAGGCTTGAGATGGCATTTCCAGACGTAAACTCGGCCAGAAGTGGGAAACAATGCGAAAGAAGACTCGTCAGACCATATACTCGCTTCCACTGCTCTATAGTCCAGGCTTTATGACTTAAACACCACCTTTTCCTGTTACGGGCATTAGCATCACTGATGAGTGGCTTCTCAATTGCAGCACGGCAGCAATTCCTTGTTTATGAAGCTCCCTTCTAATTGTTTTGGTACTCATAGGGTTCGGTAACACAACATTCATTTCAGCAGTAAGATTTGCAGCTGTGGTCTTCTTATTTTTCGTCACAATTACCCTTAATGATCGTCTGTCACGATCACTCAGGACACGTTTTCGTCCGCGCTGTGATTTAGCAGATGATGTTTTTCTGCTTTTCAAACATGCGGAATAATCTTTCGATATAGTACCTCTTGAAACACTAAACACCTCGGCTACCTTGCTTATGGAAGCACCTATCATACGTGCTCCAACAATTTGCGCACGTTCGAAGTCTGTTAACTCTGACATAATGCAATGACAACCTCACATAACAGTACTCCGACAACAACTGAACTGTTTAGCACATTTACGAAGTTGTATAGGTGGCGTCAGTAGTCAAAAATGCCAGCGCCACCTACATATTTCACTAAAATCAATCTTTCTTTTCAAACATGCATTTCACAAGGTGTTTCCATATTTTTGTCCATCCACTGTATGTTTGAAATGGCCGATGCAGAGACCATTCGTATCATAATAGCATATGATCGCGGTACCATTATAGCATACTATCTACGATCAGACGTCAAAACTAAGGCCTTTCACTGTAAAAATAAAATGGGAAGTCCAAGAGCTTGATGCTCATAATAATCCTGTCAGTAGATCGGAGTACAGGTTCCCAATAAAAATATATAGATTTTAATGACTGGAGAACTTTTCAGCTTTGGAGCTGAGATATTAACCGGTATTCAGTACATGAGGTAACTTAATAAATAAGGATATTAACTTAAACATTTAAGAACGTCGGAATTTCATTTTATGGATCTGGACTAGAAGGAAAGGTATGTAGTTTAAATATTAATGTCCATTGTTTTTGAAATTATTCACATATAATTCTCTGTTTGTACTTTTTGTTTACGCTTTTTGTACTGTGGCATACTATCCGTTCCCATGAATGATACAGTTCATTCGCCATCCACAATGTCGCTATCCGGAGTTATGTGAAAAACCGAATCTTGTTAAAAGTAGAAAGAATATCTGACACCAGTGATTTGAGCAAATCGGTGTAAACATGTATTATATGTTGACTCATTTTATAGCATATGAAATAAAGGACGATGGTAGGCAATAAATGGCGGGATAGAAACGCCCAGCGAAAAAAAGTATTGATAAAATAGCTTGAGAACAAATGAAACAAAAGTCATAATTATTAAACCTTTCACTCAAGGAAGGCGACATCCCGTGAACGATCTCCGTACTAGGTAGGAGGGCCGGCCAGTATCCGTAGAAAAACCTCAGAAGAGGGATTTAAGAGCACTGTTGGCGACGCCATGGGGGCCTCAATCCCGCAACGCAGACTTAGGGGAAAAAAAAGGGGGGCACTCTTTAAATTCCCAAGGCTGAGCCGGCGCTTGTCCTCACCTTGGGTCTCCGAGACCACCAAGAGAGGAGGCAAACTATAGACACTGTATTTCTGGCCTGCGCGCCCTCTGGAATGGCGAAATAAACCACGGCTATCCGGGACAGCATGGGCTACCCTTTCTGGCCGTAGGGCCCGGAACCTAGTTATTGTACCCGCAGAACCACTAATGTCATAGTAAATATTAAGCCAGTACACTGCACCCCAAGTGGTTTTCCCATGGGTTTGTTGAAACAAAGAAAAAGTATGTTGTTATTGTATGTTATTATTTCGCCGTTTTTAATTGTCAGTGATGCCAAATACATGCTAATAATAATCGAAGTGTCCGTGCGGTAGGGATCAAGATTGCGCTGATGTTGACGACATGATTTTTCAAATTTTGGTTATAATGGTATTGATGCGGAAGGTTATTACTACTTTGAAGACAAGAGCTGAATAGTGCCGTTAGTTATAATATGTATATATATGTAAGATAAAAATATATGAATCAAAATTATAGTTTAAACTATAAACATTAATTCTTCCTCTTTATTCTAAAATCGTAATAACTTCTCTGCAATGCGTCATTTCTAGATCACTCTATGGCCCGCGCAACTCTGATGACGTAATAATTGAGAACTGAAACTGCCATTGTAAACCAAAACTTTTCTCTTCGCCGTGCTTCCATCTTTCATAACAACGCACTTCAGCTTTTCCTCTCTACTGTGCTAAGATGTAATTTCGCTGGCTTGCTTTCTGTCTCAACAATATCAAAAATGGAAATCTTCTGTGGAAAGGCA